ATATATATATTTCTTGAATTAAGTTAAACATTTCAATCAACGTAAATCTCGTTTGTCTTATTTACGTGAAAATAAATAAAATCTTTCTAAAGTATTATAAAATAAAAATATTGTGAATAATATTTCACTTGTATAATTTGTGCGTAGTTATATTAGAAATGTTTAGATACATAATCATAAATAAAAGCTTTGAGAAGAAAAATTTCATGTATGCAAAAAATTTTTTACTGTATCTCTTTAGGATTTGTTGGCAGTGGTATGTTGACAGCTTCCGTAGCAGGATCCATTTTTACAGCGCCGCCATCTATTCATATCACGTATGCTCTTCAGTGTATTGCAGAAAATAATAAAGGTCTTTTTACTTTACATACTTATTATTAAAAAGTATTTTTTATTAAATCACACGTACATTAATACCTTCTTTTAGATGGTATTGTGGTCGTGGTACCTAATTACACAGGGGATCGTTTAAATTTTGGCATAGCAATTGAGAAGACTCGGCAAGCGGGCATTGCGGTAAAACGAAAATCTTCCATTTTTTACCCGCAAATAACGATATAAATTAAATATTTTAAAATTATCGACCTATTTGAAAATTATATACATATAATATCTTAATAATCAGGTGAAGGAGGTAATCGTTGATGATGACTGCAGTATTCCCGTAAACGAACAGAGCGTCGCTGGTAAGCGCGGACTAGTGGGTATGTTGTTCGTTATCAAAATTGCGGGTGCATTCGCCGAAAAGGGTTTTCCTCTGTGTGAAGTAGCAGAAATTGCACGACGCGTTTCACAAAATATCGCGACTTATGGAGTCGGACTATCCGCGTGCGCAATACCAGGTATGAGACAATCAAGGCTCATAAGTTACTATTCAAGTCGCGCCATAGTTATGATAATTACGTACATGTGCTAAGCTTGCATGGCCCAAGCGCTTCTATAATGAGGCTGTTTCTCCAATCGGATGGACGGATAGAAAGATGGATCAGAATCTAGACAATGGCTGTGTTCAACAGAAAAAATAACTTTGCAATTGTTACAAAATTCGTGAATATAATTGGTTTATATATTTAGATCTAGTGAGGAACTAAGGACAAAACTAATCATATTAAAGAATTTTACAACAGTTGTAAAACTGCTTTTTTTGTTAAATGTAACCATTCTTTGTAGTTTATTTCTTTATTATTGTTGTCCACTTTTTTTCGAATACTTGATATATGAGGTAATCTATTAAGGATACAACGGATCATAAAATTATCAGATTCTTTTCGAATATCCGATTCTGGATCGATTCTTTTCGAATATCCGATTTCCAGTCGAATATCTTAATAAGGATATTCTTGACAATAAGGCTCCCTTATTACATTAAAAAAAAAATATTATGTTTGAATACAATACATTCAATTTATATTTAAATTTATAATTTAAAAGCTTAAATTATTTGTTCTGAGAATGTTAAGAAAATTTGATGGTTTGTATTATGTATATATATATATAAAATTTGAAGCAAATTCTCTTCAGACGAGTTTTAAGGTTTTATCAAGAGAAAAATCAGTTTTATACTGTCATGGTTAAAGAATACGTCATATTTGCGATACTTTGCGGCTTACAATTAAAATTATTTAAAATAACTCTGCATGGATATGCTTAATCTGACAATGAGAATATTAAATGCAGGTCAAGGTCTCATGTTCGAGCTTGCACAGGATGAGATAGAATGTGGAATGGGTGTGCACGGAGAAGCAGGATACGAGAGAATTAAGCTCAGGACCGCATCTGAACTGGTGATGCTAATGTTAAAGCGCATTTGCGAAGTCTTATCTTTGTCCACTAATGATTCAGTTGCGGTTATAATCAACAATTTCGGTGCTTTAAGTCAATTGGAACAAGGAATAATCGTCTATGAGGTTGTAAATCAACTTCGTAAGTACTTATTTACTGTTTTTTCTTCTTTATATATATATATA